GAGGCCCTGGATTTTAATCTTGGCTCTGCTGCCAACCTTGAATCTAGCACTTGTGGACTAAGCCAACATCTTCTTACCAAACCCTGTTGTCACCAGAACCTCTGAATGCTTTAAGATTCAGAGACACTATTAGTTAAGGTTCTATAAAAGAATCAGGTTTAGAGGAAAAGAGCTGAAGTTATGATCAACATAAGGCAATCTCTGGCTAACAAGTGGTAATATCTAGATATTTGGCCCCATATAAAGAGACACTCTGGTTGCCAGTTACATGCATGGGCACATCTAGTTCTTGTTTACTTAATTTATAAGCTTACAAAACACTTCTCTTCAGAGATGGGGCCTAAAAGGATTATAGTAAATCAAGAGTATAAAATACTTGATCTGTTTATCAACAATAGTTTCCACAGTTTCAAACAGGATTTGTTGATGCTAAACTCTGAGATGGGGTGACCTGCACTGCTGTTTTTAGAAAGCCCCAAGTCACAGCAAATGAGGCATATGGTTCCCAATTCCAAGGGATTTGTCCTTTCTCTTAAACAGCTATGCCTGTTTCTAAGACCTGAAGCACAATGAGTTCTATAGTTTTAGAATACTGCACTCAGATGCATTTTCCTTTGTAAGACTACAGAAGTAAGTAGAAGGTTGGAGATAAAATTTTAGAGTCATCAAAATACAGAAATAAATGAAGTCAAAACCAGAGTTGGGATCACCTTGGAAGAGAGGGCAAAGAGAAAAGAGGTCTAGGAAGCTAGCTGTGAGGAACTGTCATGTTAATGGTCAAGAAAAGGAGCACGGACTTGAAGAGGAGATTAAGAAAGAGGAGTCAGAGAGACAGGAAAAAAACTGAAAGAGGGTGGCATTCTGAAAAGCCAAGGAAAGAGAATATTAACAGGAGAAAATAGTGATTATTGGTGCCACATGCTCCTGAGAACTCAAGGGGACTGAAAAACATCCTATGGATTTAGCAAAACAGAGGTCCCTGATAACCTTAACATCAAATGTTTCAGGGGACTGATGGCAACACAATTCAAATTGGAGTGGGTAAGGAAGTAGAAAGCGAGGACATAGAGACCAAGAGTATAGGAAATGCTTTGGAGAAACGTTCTAACGAGAAATACAAGAAAGTAGTTGGAAGAGGGTATGAAGTTACGTGAAAAGAGTTGGGATTTAAATCCAATTCTTACTCCAAGACTGAATTCTATAAATTGCTGCTTCTAAACCACCCTATACTGCTATTTCTCTCAATTTGCATGCCAAGCTATACATTCTTTCTTTTTTATTTTCAATAAAAACAACTCGAAGTTCATCTATAGAAAAAAGTTCTAGAGGTTTTGAGCATTTAAATGTAAAATCTATCTACAAGTCTTCTAGGTTTATGTTAAGGATCAAAACCTTCACATGTTGACATTCCCATGACCTGTTTTCGTCCTTACAACACCTGTAAAATGAGCTAAGTAAGGCAGTATTATTGTGATTTTATGATGAAATTGAGTCATTGAGACAGTCATGGCAAGAACCCAGGACTTCTAATTCCTAGTCCACGTTGTTCTTGATATTCCAGTATACTAGCCACAAGAAGGTAGGCAGGTCATGGGTTGACTGACATCTGCTCCTTGACCTTAGACCAGCCAATACCAAAAGCTTCTCCCTCTTAGAATCATTAGCAATACCAAAAGTAGTAGTGATTTGTCATCATTGTCATACGTCAGTTTTCAAAGACCTGTTAAATACATTGCCTCTTCCAAACTCAAAATAAATTAACAGAGGTATCTAGGGCTGATTTGCCACTATCATCCCAAGTTAAAATAAGAAAACTGAGGATAACACAATGACATATGTTGCAGCTGGGACTTGACTGCATATCTATAAACTCCAAATCTAGTGGTCTTTTCTTCAGGTTAGTGGTTTATAAAGGCTGGATCCCTTCATCAATGTGATGAAAGTTAAGGCCCCTCTTTACAGAAATACATATATAAGTAATCAACAAAACTTCGTGCATAATTTCAAGGGGTTCACTGATGATCTGAAGTTAGGAATCCATGCTCTAGGTTATGTGGTCTCTAAGTCAACTAGAATGCCAGTTGATGAGGTTGTATGACCTAATTCCTCCCAATAATAGTACTATTGTTATTCAAGACTCCCAGGAGAGGAAGCCTGTGAAGCTTTTCTCAGACTCCTTGTTTCCTCCTTCTGTACACCCTGATGACACACTGCTTATATTCTAGCCCTGCATGCATTTCATTCTGCTCTGTGCAGGTGTGGCTCCCCTATTAGAATGTAAGCCTCTTGGTGGAATGGAAATGTCAAATGTAAGTAACTACAACAACCACAATAGTAATTTCTATCACTACCACTATTATTTCTTGAACATCTAGTACAAGTTGACACTTAACTATCACTATGTGACAGCCACTATTGTAATTCATTTGATTTTTCTCAACAACTGTATGAGGTGTTTACTATTATTATTTTCCTTTACAGGTTACTAAGGTACAGAGAGGTTAAGTAAACAGTCCAGGGTCAAAGGTGAGACACAGGCAATTTGGCTCCAGAGTCTACAATATTAATGGCCATCTTAGCCCATTGGTTTTTTTTTGCCATGTACCAGTTACATGGAATTTCTTTGTTATGCTATAAAGCCTGACAATCAAGCATTATTATCATGAAATTTATTTATGTATTACTTTTTAAACTTTTTATTTCAAAATAATTTGAGATTTACACAAAAGTTGCAAAAATAGTAGCATTTCCTTTTACTCATCACCTAAGAAATTAACATAAATAACAACATAATCTGTATTTGAATTTCAACAGTTTGCCTACACTAATGTCCCTCTTCTGGTTCAGGATCTAAACTTTAATCATAAACTGTTTTTAGTTGTAGCATCTCCTTAACTCTCCTCCAATCTGGGACAGTTCTTCAATATTTAAGGTTCATAATCTTGTTTTGAAGCAAATTGGCTAATAAATTTATAGAATGTCTCTCAATTTAGGTTTGTCTGGTATTTTCCCATGTCTACGTTGAGGTTACACATTTTGGGCAAGAACATGGCAGAAATGACGTTGTGTCCTTCTCAGTACATCATAAAAGGCAGTACATTATATCAATATGCATTATTGTTAGTGCTGTCAACGTTCACTAGTTGGGTAAGGTGCTGTCTGTTAGATTTCTCCACTGGAAAGTTACCGTTTTCCTTCACATGAATAAGTATCTTGTGGTGAAATATTTTGGTATTATGCAAATATCCGGCTTCCCAACATATTTTTACTAACTAATTTTAGTATTCACTGATAATTCTTGCCTGCAACAATTATCTCTGTAGTGTCTACCTAATGATGATTTTCTATTTCTACTATTTCTTCTACATTTATTAATTGTAAGAACACCATCCTGACAGTGGACAGGAAGACCTGTCCTTTCTTCCCCACTTATTTCCTCCTTCAATTATTCACTTATATCAGTATGGACTCATGGAGTTATTTCATACTATCACTATTTATTTTGCTGATCAAATTGTCCCCGATTAAGTCACTGAGATTCTGAAAACGGGCTAAAATGAATTTTAACAATTATTTTTGGAGTAATATATTACTTTTTGGCACCACAAAATGTTCATGTATTTTCCCTGTCCCAACCCTAGAATCAATCGTCTTTCTAAGAAGTCCTGATTACTTTTATTGGAGAACCAGAATGGTATTTACAAACCAAGATCTGGGTGCTAGGAGTACACTTTGCTACCATGGTATGTCATTGCTTCCAGGTCACCTCAGCTGACAGAGCTAGGGAATATATGTATGATTATTCACACACGAATACACATGTCTACATGTATGGATATTTATATCCAGCTGTATATATATTAAAAATCACAAGTTCATATTAATGCACAGGGTTCATTCTAACCTTCCCCTTTCCCCATTTGTGAGAAACCTAGCTTTCATTATTTAAAACATATTTATTTATGTGTTCAATCGTCATATATATATAAAGAGTTTTCCGTATAGCTACCTCATACACCTAGGAAAACAAATTTACCAATTACAGAACAATAGTATGTACAGTCATTTTTATCTTTAGCCATATGGCAAATGGTCAAAATATTCCTCCCTCAAATTTACTTAGGTTAGTTCTTTTCTTTCTCAAACCCCCTTCAGTATGGTTGTAATATCATTCACATGTAAGACAGTAAGTTCATTCTTTACTACCTGTATTTTATTTTGCCCATCCCAACACACACACATACCCTGGCTATTGATCCATCTATCAATCATCTATTTACTTGGGAGGGACATGAAACATTGCCATGATTCTAAGAATTAACGGTTATACAAAAAGGTACACTCCAGAAGTATCATTCTCTCCTACTATCATGTCCCCATTTTCCTATTCTTGCCTCCCCACTCCTATCCTTTCTTCCTATCCATTGGTTACTCCTGTAGGTAACCAGTCTCATCAGTGTCTGGCTTAACAGTCCTTTATTTCTTTTGCGTAAACAAGTTGATACGCATATATTTTCTTATGTCTCTTTCTTTTTACATGAACGGGAGTAAACTGTAAATACTCTTTTATACTCAAATCTCTTCACTATATCCTGGAAGTCACTCCATATCAATTAATATCTTCAATTTTACAGAGGCAAAGACAGGCTTAAAGAGGTTAAGTAACTTGCCCAAGGTCACACAGCTAATAAGGAGTAAGACCGGGGTGTGAACCCAAGAAGTTTTGACTCCAGAATCCATGCTCCCTCTTTACATAAGCATTTCTCCTCTATGGTCCCTGGGTATATTCTTGGGGCATCTCTAGATTATCTAAGTTCTCTTAGATTATTAAAAAAAATTAATACACCTATGTCCCTGATGATCTGGATAACAATCTTGTAACAAGCACTAACAGGCATTTTCATTGTCTGTAGGATCTGAACATCACACAACTGTCTGAAGTGAAAGCTCTCGATACAGTCACACAAAGAAAGTTGCAGAAAAGAAGAAACAGCAGTTACCTGGCTGTGGCCTTGGCCTGTAGTTCTGGAAAGGCAGCATGGCCCTGCACCAAATGGTCTATCTGTAAAACAAGAGAGATGGGTCAATTTTACAGCTTTTCTAATCTATGTTTAAGCCAGAAAAAGATATATTAAAATGTATATTTCCTTCAACTCTTTGTCTATACAGGATCCAAGAACATGAAAATGCTAATGTGGCTAAAAGAAATTTAGTTTTGATTAACCTAGTACTAGCCTCTTGGATACACAAAACAAAGAAGTTTAGAGAGAAGAGTAAAAGGGAACGAAATTCCCAAGGCTAAACTGGGTAGAAGCAATTTAATATCAGGCCCAAGAATGAGGAGCTAGGAAGGAAAGGGTAATTCAAGTTCAGTGGTGGGAGGTCTGGGTATTAAAAGCACTAAACTTCTCTGGATCACATCATTTCCCCCTCCTGATTCAGGCTGTCACCCCTGGGCAATGCCAAACCTTCAATTACTCACTGTCTCTTACTAATGAAGAAGTTGAATGAAAGAGACTATGAGGGAATCCCAGGTGTTTTTTGTTTGTTTGTTTTGTTTTAAAATTTATTAAAAAAATGAAGTGCCCCAGTACTGTCAAGAGAATCTCCCTTGACTGAAAAGTTATCACATGGGAAACACAGCTCTCTAAGGACAGAAGTATGTGAGCTCAGCAGACAACCACTTCTCATGTGAAACCCTGTGTCTAGGATTTTATTCCTTAACCCGTTGGGTGGCTCTAAACAAAATAGTATGGAATATGCATCAGAAACAGAAATGTTTCTCCTTGCAGTTACTCTGCTAACTAAAACACACCCAACACCCTGCTTGAGTTTCTGAACCTAATCTGTGTATTTTCTGAATGTTTACTTGAGTCTCTAGGGCTCTAAAACAACTATTCTGACAGATTTATTTTCATTCAAACTATGAACAGGCTGGCTATTTTGGCTTCATGGAGATAGGCTCTGTGAGTATGCTTCCTGAGAGTCAGGGATGTGTAAAGAGCTAGAGAATTTGTTCAGGAACCACGGAGGTCAAGCTTAGTTCTGACTCTGATTCTCATTAGCTGTGTGACTTTGTGGAAGTTCCTGAACTGCTTTGAACTTCAATGGCCTCCTTTACCCTCTAGTCTCCTTTTAAAACAGCTTTGCTAGGAAGTAAGAGCGAGAGGCAAGGCATGTCAAAAAGGAGTCTGTGATGGGTGGAGACATGAAGATAGACATGATTGTGAACAGCAAGAGACTAAGTTAGCAACATGCCTGGCATATCACAGGTGCTCAAGAATATCTGTGCAATAAACATGGGATGAATGAACCATAGTGAGGGCATAGCACTATGTACTTCTTGGTGTCACTTACCATGATACTTTTGGATCTGCGTGTGCTGGGCACACATTGTTCATAGGGTGACTGCATGACAAATTAGAGAATAAATGAGATGGTGGAAATATGAATGAATAAGGAGGATGGGGACAGACAGTGGATTGTGTTTATGCTTTTATTGGACGAGAGGCCATAAAAATTATTTTGATTTGAGGAGCAAACTGATGAAAAGTTACGGAAAATTATTCTGGTAGGGTACACAGGACAGGAAGATAACTAGGCATAGAGAACAGGAAACGCCAACAAAGAAGAGGCTGACTGTGGGAAGATGAGGCTCAGGGATTCCCTGTCCTTGATCTACTGTAGCATCTATCAGGTTCTTTTTTTAATTTAATTTTTATTTTCATTTTACTATATTTAATTATGTAGATGTGGGGTACAAGTCAGGATTAGGTACATGAGTGGTTTACAAGCAGTTTGGGCCTCCATCTGGACCTCACTTTGCCTGGTTTATGATCTGGTACCCTTAGTGAGGTTACGTGTCCCCCCTACCCTCCCTCCCCTGGCAGTGTCCAGCTGCTGCTGATCCCTTCCTTCTATATTGTGATAAATATTCAGGACTCACTTATAAGTGAGAACATGTGGTATTCAGTTCCTTGTTTTTGTGATAGATCACTGAGTATGATGGACTCTAAATCCATTCAAGTTGCTGCAGTCCATAATTTGGCCCTCTTTATGGTTACATAATACTCCATTGTGTATATATACCACATTTTCTTTATCCAGCCCACTTTCGATGGGCAGCTGGATTGGTTCCATGTTTTTGCTATTGTGAATAGTACAGCAATAAACAGGAATGTGCAGGTGTCGTTTTTGTAGAACTATTTGTGTTCCTCTGGATATACTCCAAGGAGGGGGATTGCTGGGTCATATGGAAGGTCAATTGCTAGTTTTTTTAAAAATCAACACACTGTTTTCCAGAGAGATTATACTAGTTTGCACTCCCACCAACAGTGTAGAAGTGTTCCCTTTTCTCTGTCCCCACATCTGTTGTTTTTTGATTTATTAATAATGGCCATCCTTACTGGAGTTAGCTGGTATATCAATGTGGTTTTGATTTGCATTTATTTGATGATCAGAGAGGCTGAGCATTTTTTCATGTGGTTGTTCAAATGTCTTCTTTTGAGAAGAGTCTATTCATGTCTTTTGCCCACTTTTTTTTATTGAGCTGTTTCTTTTTTTCCTTTGGGCTCATTTGAGTTCCTTGTAGATTCTGGAATTTAGGCCTTTGTCAGATATACAGTTGGCAAGTACTTTTTCCCATTCTGTGGGCTGTCTCCCCCTCTCTTGATGGTTTATTTTGCTGTGCAAAACCTTTTCAGTTTAATGAGTTTGTCTATCTTATCTCTTATGGCATATGCTTTTGGGGTTATGATCAGGATTTGGTTGCATATTCCAATGTGCATAAGGGTATCTCCTGCTTTTTATAAGATTCTTAAAGTTTGAGGTTTTACATTTAGGTCTTTGATCCATTTAGAGTTGATGTTTGAGTATGGTGATAGGTAGGGGTCCTGTTTCATTCTTCTGCATGCAGTCAGCCAGTTTTCCCAGCACCATCAGCCAGTTTCCCCAGAACCACAGCAGGCTTTTTACAATCATTAGTTTATATGTCTGTCTCTCACTCTATACTCTGAACTCTTTCAAAGCAAAAGCATCACTATTTCATACTACCCAGTGCTTAGAACAATGCCTGGCATCTTGAATGAATGAATGAATAAGACACAGTCTGAAGAAAATAAAGCAAACTTAGTAATTGGCTGGTTACAAAATATAAGAAAATTGGATTCGGATGACTTTCAACTTTGGGTCTAAGATAAGAAAGCATGGTTATATTAATCATGCCTTTTCATTTTCTGTATTTCTTTTTTTTTTTTTTTTTTGAGTTGGAGTCTCACTCCGTCACCCAGACTGGAGTGCAGTGGCCGCTCCCGGCCACCGCAGCGCCTGCTGGGCTCTGGCAATCCTTCTGCCTCAGCCTTCTGAGTAGCCGGAATTACAGGCGCGCGCTACCACGCTCAGCTCATTTTGATTTATTGTAGAGATGAGGTCTCGCTGTCCAGGCGGGTCTCGAACCCGCGGGCTCAGGCAATCCACTCACCTCAGCCTCCCAAAGGCGGGATTACAGGCTGAGCCACTGATTCCTAGAGACAATGAACAACTCCCCTGGGAGTAGGCCTTCTTTCATATGCAAACTAACCCAGGGTCCACTTCCCCACCACCTCTCACTCCGTGCCACTGTTCTTCTCTATCCCCTCAGGGCCAGACACCAGACCATGAGGGACGACCCCTACCCTCAACTTCCAGAACCTACTGAAATTATTCAAAGTAACCAATACTAAGCCTACTTATTTCACCCTGCCTGTTCCTTCCTGGGAAAATCACCATCAAGGATCGAGGCTCTTGCCCGTGCTTCCCCTTCACTCCCTCTGCCTCCTGACTGTCCCAGGTGATTCCTCGTGTAAGCCTGCATGGCACAGAGTGCCCTTTCCTCTTGGAATGTAACAAACCGTCATTTCAGTGACAGTTGTCTCCTGATCTTTTGGCCTCACTATACTCGAACAATCATAAATCTTACATTTTAACAGTGGTTTAGTAGAAAGAACATGGGCTTTGGAAATAGACAGACTTGGGTTCAAATTTGCAGTCTACACTTATCTTCTGTGCAACCTTGGAGAGGTTACTTAACATCTCAGAGACTCATTTCCTACCACCGGTAAATGGGGACAATAAAATTTGCTTTGCAGGGAAGGTTGTGGTGTGACTGTTATGTAGGTGGTGTTCAGTTCAGAAACACCTACTATGAAAGAGAAGGGAAATACCAACAAAAGAGGGAAAATGGTTAGCAGAACAGAATCACAAACTGCCAGCTGCACTTTTTGTTTTCCATGTCATCTCCTACCCTGATTCACACAGAATGAGCCAATGTGTCAAATAACTGAACACTCATTTCAATAGCCTGGAAGGGCCTGTTCCTAGGGCTGATCTCTCTACTTATGTTCTATTCTCTAGTGCATTTAGCACAATATAGGACACAGTGCCCCGCTGGCAGTTATTTGTTTCCCAATGAAATAACCAGTTTCACAACAATGATTGTCTTTACCATAGAAATATATAGACAGAGCTAATACAACTCTATGACTATTTCCTTGTTTCTTCCATCTGCTTTTGGAACAGGAGAGAATATACAATACAGTATAATACAGAGATCATAACTGGTAGTACAAGGTGGCATCTGGTCTACAGATGTATTTTATTTGGAATATTTGATATTTTAAAAGATGAGCCAATATTTTTTAAACTGGGAGATTTCACCTAAAGTTCAGATTCTGTTTTTTTTCTGAAATAATTGAAAAGTGTGAAAGACTGGGTCACCCATATTCTCCCATGGCAAGAGTCAGCTGTAGCTGAGTGATGACCGATCCCTTCAGACAGACCTGCACTCTCCAGTCCGTGAAAGGCCTCACTACTCCCCATCATTCACCAACAAGAGACACCAGATTTTATCAATTTATCATCATGACTGCACTAATGTTTTGCATGTAATAGAGACATATTTCTCTGTGCCCATTTCTCCATCAAAGAGGGAACATGGAATTCAGCCTTAGAGCACTGTGAGTTGCAAGAGAAACTTCTCTGGAAGCAAGAAATATTTATTTGCCTAGTCTATTCAATCATTTATGC